TGGGTGACAGAGACATGGGTATGGGACTTGCCCTCGAGAAGCTTATAGTCTAATTGAGGGAAAAAGACAGTCTGCGAAGTTGACTTGTTTAGTGATGCTTTAGATATTTGGGGAAGGGAGAGATCCGAAAGGATTGAGTCTCAGGAAAGACTTCATAGAGGGTTGGGATTTGGGATGGGATGGGATGGATCGGATTGCTAGAGTGTGGAGGAGTACATCAGCCTTCTCACCACACCTTAACAGATGAGGTAAGACATTGAAGGCATTTAGAGCAGTGTCTAAATAGTAAGTGCTCACTAGAATGTAAGTTCTACAAGGGTAGGGTTTATGTCTGTCTTGTTCACTGTCATATCACCAGTGCCTAGAACACAGTAGATGCTTCAGTAAATGTTTATGGAATGAATAAATCACTGCAACTCTCAAATTCTTTTTAGCTATTTAATTTGTACTGTGAAAATACAGGCAAAGGGCTGGATCTCTCACATTGGTCTGTTAATTCATTTATTATACTAAAGAGTAATTTTTTTTGGCTGTTGTTAAAGTAGTACCTCTATTGTTTATTGCTAGAGATAATCATTATGTGGCAAGAGGAATGTAAGTCAGGTACTAAACAACAAAAGAAAAAGGGGAAAAAGAAAACAATGTCGTGATTCTAAAGATACCCACTCAAAAATAATTCATTCATTCAACAAATATTTATTGAACGGCAACTGTGTTTGGGGGGTCCATGGGTGAACAAAATTGACAGTTGCTGCCTAAGGGGATATTGACACCGAAACTAGTAATTACAAATGTGATGTGTATAACTTACAGAAGTGCTGGTGCCCTTCTGAACCAAGGCCCTTCTGTCCTTAAATGAGTACATTTAACCTAGCCTGGGACACCAGAGAATGCTTCCCTAAGGAAGTGGTAAGTCCTGATTATTGTTTGCTGTGTGGCAAACTACTCTGAAATTTAGTGTCTGAAAACAATTTATTTTCTCTCATGGTTCTGGGCTAACTGGACTCAGCTGGAAGATTCTCACTTGGGAATCTCTTATGATACTGACTGGGGCTGGAATCATCGGAGAGCTCAACTGGGCTGTCATTCAAGATGGCTTCTTCCCTCACATGTCTGGTGCCTCTGTGCTCTAGCATGTGGTCTCTCTCTCCAGCAGAGTAGCCTGGACTTTCTATATAATCAGCTTAGAGCTCCAAGAGACAGGAAGAGGAAGCCACCAGGCCAGTCAAAGGCTGCACCGCCAATGGGCACAGCCACACTCTACTGATCAAAACATCACAAGCTTTGCCCCGATTCATGGGAGTGGAAAAATAAACTCACTTCTTGATGGGGAAGTAGCAAGTTCTCATTGCCAAAAAGCACGTGGGATAGGAGATATTGCTGTGGCTTTCTTTAGAGAATACAGGTCTGTCACTTGATGTTAGATTGGACCCTGAAGGATGATTAGGCATTGATGCAATGGGCAAAAGAGTCCAGGAGGGAGTAAACCCTCCAGCGATGGGAACAGCCCGTGGGCAGGCCTGGAGATCAAAATGGTAAACCTTGAAGGAGGAACTGAAAGGCCTTTGTAACTAAGTGGAGGAATGAGGGGAGGAAGAGTGGCATGGAAATGCTGGGGCACACAGTGAAGAGTAGAGTATGGTTTTGAAGGGTAAATGCATATTTACATCAGAAAGCAAAGAGAATAGCTGTGTAGGTTCCAGACAGAAGCAATGGAAAGCACTAACAGTGAAATTCCTAGAATAGGAAGAACAGATTAGCCCAGAGGACTTGGGGTGGACTTGGGGGGTGGTTCAGGGAAATCTTACCCCAAATTACATAGCTAGCGTGAGACAGAATTAGGATTTGGACCTAGCTCTGACTCTAGATCCACTAGATTGCTTGCTGTTTCTCCACTGCATTGATCACCACACTGCCTATGGAAAGTCATTTTATATAATAAACTTGAAAATCCCTTGCTAACCAAAAGGTGATTTACTCTTCCTAATTTCTTCCAAGCCATCCAGGCAAATACCTTCTAAGTTTTCTAGACTCAACTCAGAGGGCACCTCCCTTTGAAGGCCTTCTTAATCTCTCCCTCACCTTTGCTGGCAAGTGACCCCTCCCTCCTTCCCCCACCAAATCTGTTTCCATCCTCTATCAAGGCAGTTTTTTGGACTTATTTTCTTAGGCTCATCGTGATAGACTGTGAGCCTCTTTAGGGCAAAGACTGTATCTTATTCATCCTTCCATCTTCAGCATCTTGGACCTGTCGTGACCTTAATGGATGGTAGATGAGAGGTTTCCAGAATCCCTTGTTAAATAGCGTTGAAATGGTTCTCAAGCTGAATTGTTACTGCCCTTAATGAGGATTAAATGAGGCATTGCATAGGGAAGTGTCCCTGGGACATCTTACTTTCTGTGGGCCTCAGTGTCCCCTCTGTGAAAGTTGGGGTTGAGAGGATGATCTCAAAGGTCCCGTCTTTGTCTAACAGTCTACAATCTTAGAACGCAGTGTGGTGGAGTGTTCCACAAGCCAGCAGTGCTGGCCGTCAATGGTTATATGCTCCTAGCCAGCCTGTGAATACCAAAGCAGGGAGCACAAAGAGTATATTCCTAGACATTTTGATTTAAAAAAAAAAGAAAGAAAGAATCAGTTTAAAGGTATTTACTCTCTCTAGTATGATTAAAGACTGAATTTTAAGAACTAGGTAAGAAAAGGAACATTCATAATAGAATCTTAGATGAATAACTTAGTGCTCGGCACCTTGGTGCCTCTTCTATAAAATGGGAAACATTTTATTATGTTCATTTAAAATTTTAGTAAATAAAGAACTAGAAATTTTAGATTTATTATGTATTTCTTTTTCTTAGTGTCTGGTATACAAGATAAAACTGAAAAATTCCAAGTTTCAAAATGACAGAAGTAGTGAAACTCTGCTATAGGATTCAAGAGACTCAAGGCTTAGCATAGACACAGCAAACAAAACCATGTTTGCAGCTAGAAAAATATTATAACTGATCTTATCACCAAAAATCAATCTGTGCCTTGCTTCATGAATGCTAACATAGTAAACATGAAAATGTAAAAAGTAGACAAATTCACAGTCATTATCACTTTATAATAGGTTAGCCACCAAGTTCCTGTGACCTGCGAACCTTCTTGATACACTTAAAATAACGGGCTGTATATAGTAGTTTTACTTACACACATTAAGCAATGTAGATTGGTGCTGTTGATTTAAATGTAATGATTTAATGACCTAAGTGCTAAAAATTATTTTAATTAACCACAGAAATTTTGCAGTTTTAAAGAAGAAAGCACATTTATGTACCTTTGCAGCAACTTGCAAAGGTGTTGCTAATTGCCTAGTTTTACCTACTTGTAAGTAGTTAAGGAAAACAAAGCTTACCTAGTTGTTTTGTTTCTTTGTTCATTTTTTTGGTAAAGATACAAAAGTGTATGTTGAGCACATGAAGTGTGGCTAGTGTGACTGAGGAACCTTATTTGATTTTTAATCAGTTTAAATTTATTTTCTAAATTAAAAAAAAATTTATTTATTTTATTTATTTATTTTTTTGGCAGTGTTGGGTCTTCGTTGCCGTGCATGGGCTTTCTGTAGTTGCGGCGAGCAGGGGCTACTCTTCATTGAGGTGCGCAGGCTTCTCATTGCAGTGGCTTCTCTTGTTGCGGAGTATGGGCTCTAAGCATGCAGGCTTCAGTAGTTGTGGCATGCGGGTTCGGTAGTTGTGGCTCATGGGCTTTGGAGCGCAGGCTCAGTAGTTGTGGCACACAGGCTTAGTTGCTCCGCGGCATGTGGGATCTTCCGGACCAGGGCTCGAACCCGTGTCCCCTGCATTGTCAGGTGGCTTCTTAACCATTGCGCCACCAGGGAAACCCAATAAATTTAAATTTAAATAGCCATGTATGGCTAGTGTCTACCATATTGGACAGCATCACTGTTCTCGTTTGGCCTGGCCTTGGAGATCTAGCATTTCCCAGACAGTGTGGTTAGTGCTACGATTCTTTCTACCCAGCCCCAAGGCTGGACCTACTCGTAGGCCAATCCTCAAAGCCTCAGGGAGTTTGGATCCTGAAGCCTTTTTGCAAGATGACTGGAAGAATTTTGAAGTCCAGAGTCATCATCAGGCATTACATAATCTAAGCTTAGGAAACACAGCACAAAAACATTCAGGTTAATAAAAGGGCCATTCTCCCTCTCTACTTCCCCCTTGCACCTTTGAGCCTGACAAACCATCAGTGCTTTCAGGGTTTGTGACAGGACTCATGCATTTATGACTTTCAGACTGATTACGATATAAGTGCAGTCACAGAATTCCTAGTCTGTTTGGCTAACTCTTTTAGGTCAATATCACAGAGATTTGCCGGGGCACTCTTTTCACAGCTGCTGGCAAAGGCTTTTCTGTATGAGTAAAAGCTGCTGACCTTAATTCCCCTTATCAAGAGTCCCACCCTGCTCTGTGTAAGTTCTAATACAATGTAGTGATGTGTACTCTTTTTTTTTTAAGATTTTAAATTTTATTTATTTATTTATTTGACTGCATTGGGTCTTTGTTGCTGCGCGCTGGCTTTTTCTCGTTGCGGTGAGCGGGGGCTACTCTTCATTGCGGTGCGTGGGCTTCTCCTTGCAGTGGCTTCTCTTGCTGCGGAGCACGGGCTCTAGGCACGTGGGCTTCAGTAGTTGTGGCACGTGGGCTGTGGTGTGCAGGCTCAGTAGTTGTGGCACACGGGCTTAGTTGCTCCACAGCATGTGAGATCTTCCCGGACCAGGGATCGAACCCGTGTCGCCTGCATTGGCAAGTGGATTCTTATCCACTGCGCCACCAGGGCAGTCCCAGTGATGTGTACTCTTGACAGTGGAACTTCTCTGTAGGTGTTGTCCACGTTTGGGCATGACTGCCATGGAAGAGATGTAAAGATGAGGAAGTAAGCAGACAGATTTATGTATATAGAATACAATGAACTATGTGCCAATGTTGTTCTTTTCATTTTCTTTCAGGAAATTAAAGATGGTGGTGACATTGCCTTGACAAGCACTTCCTGTTGTCTTTACCGAGGTCTCACTGAAGAATAATCTCAAAGGAATGTTTGTCTCCCAGGACCTTTGTTGATGACTGTTATCATCCAGCAGATGTTTTTAATGTCCTGGAAAACATCAACCACCCTTGTGCTTGGCCTGCTCCGGGCAGCTGAATGAAAGTTCCTTCCAGTTGTTTCCAGAACTCTGTTGCCCAAAATTTTACCTCTCTTCGTCGGGTGAATGTTCATGAAGCTCTATCCTGAACAAGCTTAGGAGGCTTAGGCCTCTTGGAGCCTGTGACATGGAAGCTTTGGAAGTGGATGATATCAGCCCAGCCCTGGAAGTTACTGAGGATTTCTTTACTACTTTTGATAGTAAGCTAGAAAAGGCTGTGCAGCAAGCAGAGGTTTATGGGATTCAGGAAGTCCCTGAACTGGTGGGGCATGAGGTCCTCAGTAACATAGACAATGGTGCTATCAGAAATGTCTCCTCCCTGGGCAAGGGAGGCATGATCTGGGACCATTGTAAGACCAGGTTCTTAGAAACCAAAGCTCAAAATGTCTTCCCTGCCAAAGAACAGTTTATGGTCCAGAAAGGGACAACCCCAGATAATCTGTCCTGGATGGAACAAAAGGAAGCTTCAACCTTTGATTTTTTCAACATCTGTCAGCGTCGGAGGGACAGACCTCGTTCTGTGAATGACTTATTGGATGAGACTTCTACTTTTAAGCCCGGCCATGCTCGATCAAGGTCAGATATTAGCCAGGTGGACTGGAGGGTGGTCCTCAAAACCATGCCTCTGCAGCAGCAGCAACAACCATCTCTTCAGGGCCCTCACTTCACCAGGACGTCTTTTCTGTTGTCCTCATCAAACAAGGTAGAAGATGCTCAAGGAAATATGGGTATGTTTTTATATCTGACTGCAATTAAACAATTGTTGATTTTCCTTTGTCTCTCTTGCATCTACCTCATGAGAGTCTTACTCTCCATTGTCCGTGTCTGGCTTTGCCTACTTAAGCCCCTCTTCCATTTACCTTTGCACTTACCTTACCTGAAGTCTACAGTCTTATTCCTCCTAGGAGGAACTGAGTGAAAAGATGACTACGGTTAATTCTCCTTTCCTAATCTTGTATGTTAGAATCAGAATTTTCTCATGATTAATGTAGTACTTTCCTTTGAACATTGTATGATACTGCTTATTCACATTGGTAGATGTTGATCAGCTCATACCTTGGCCATAGTCTTGGGATATGAGGGATTAAAAGATGTGTGAAGACACAGTCCCTGCCCTAAAGAACTTCTCATTAGGTTGAGGGGATCAGACACTCCCAAAGACTCAGGAAGGCGCCCAGTGGTGAGAGAAAGGAGGTGCTCAACTGAAATGCCTGGGAGGGAACTTTGTTTTGCTTTATATTGTTGGAATTTTTTTAAAAAAATGAGTGAGTGGTAGCAACTGTCAGAGGATAGAGGAAGGGGAAGACACTCTGGGCTGGGCTTGTCAGGAAGGGCTTGTGAGACATGATGGAACTTGAGCTGGACCTTGAAGGACACTAAGTTGCAGAAAGAGAGTCACAGTTGGAGGACACTCGGTCAGGATTATGGTGTGGACCAAGGGGGAGACAAGGAGACCAGGCTGACCCTTGAGGAGACCAAAGGATCTCATGGCGATCGTGGGAGGAAACGTTTGGAGAGGTTGGTTAGGACCTCATGCTGCAGGGCCCTGATTTCTTTTTTCCTTGTACTTTATACACACACACACACACACATGCACATGAATATGTACTCATGTACTTACCCATGAACTTCCTCTCCTGTAAGACATGGCAAACCATCTCTGTTTCCCCCAGCATTTGTCTTCACCATAACCTCATTTATACAGGCTATCCATTTTTCTTACTGATGATTCTTTTTTTTTTTTTTTTTTGCGGTACGTGGGCCTCTCACTGTTGTGGGCTCTCCCGCTGCGGAGCACAGGCTCCGGACGCGCAGGCCCAGCGGCCATGGCCCACGGGCCCAGCCACTCCACGGCACGTGGGATCCTCCCGGACCGGGGCACGAACCCATGTCTCCTGCATCGGCAGGCGGACTCCCAACCACTGCGCCACCAGGGAAGCCCTCTTACTGATGATTCTTCGGTTACCCTGCTTAACCTCTTAATTTAGATGGCTTCTGCTTAATTAACTGGGGAGACTATTTTATGTACTTAACTGCTATTTTAGCATTTCTTCAATCTCTATCATTGCTTGCTACTCCATTGATACATTTAACATTGTATTTTATTTACTTATTTTACATTAAATTTTAATTAATAACATTTAGTTTGTAAGTATAACTCGAGGCAAGGATATGGTATAGTATGTCCATTAAGGAGATGCAGTCTTCCTGCCTATGAGGTGCTACATTATTTTCACACCCAGTTCACATCTATCCTTTTAAAATACTCTTTTTCCCCCCCACTCAAATTTATGACTTGTAATTCCTTATCTTCTCTCCTAGACTTTCACCAGTCCTCTGTAACATCTAGCCAAATGGTGATCATGGGAGTAAAAAAGAAAAGGACATTGTAAAGCACAGGGCTTGGTAACTGGCTAGACATTAGGGGATGAACAAGTTGCTGTGACCTCAGTGCCTGGCAGAATGAGACCTTTGCCTTGGGCTCACGTACAAACAGTTGTACTCATTGATTAGCAAACAACCTGAGTTTTTGTTTGGTTTCTTGGAGTTCACATAGATTTTTTTTTTTTAATCACTAAACCACTGTAACCATTCTAAATCCCTGGCATAAACCAAGTTAAGAGGATGTCGTATTTCCAATTTTATTTTTTCCAATCTTGTTTGGATTGTAAATGCAAGAACCAGCCTTCCTCATGTTCTCTAAAGGAAGCTAAAGAAAGAACCTTCCTTAGCTTCTCTCTTGAGGATATGACAGACCATGATTATTACTTTTTAATTCTCAATTTAAAAAAGTTTGAGTATTATGTTGAAATATAAGTACTGAGTGGTATTTTGAAAGCTAAACTGTAACCAGTGGCCTTTGCAAGTATTGATGTAATATAACCTGGCCCCCTTTTGATCATCCACGGGATACGCATCCTATCTGGAATTAATAAGGTTGGGGAAATGGCCTGCCAAGTGTCTGACACCTGCTCCGTCTGGCATACTCTGGAGAGCAGGACAGAGAAATCTTGTTCCTGTTGCTCACTAGGTAAAGGGCAGGGGCAAGCAGGGCCCGTGGGCTGCCCACTCTTGGGCTGGGGGTGGAGAGGAGCTCTAGGTTCATGGCTGGTCACCCACTCTGCCGACTGTAATTCTCACAGCATTTGGGAGAGGTGAGGAAGTGGCAACACCCACGTGCATACTAGTCAAGATCAGCCAAGATCTCTGAGTGAAGTTCACTTTAGAACCTTTGAAAGTAGCCGTCCAAACTGAAGAAAGGCTTATTGTCTCTCCTGAAGGCATATGCCAAAAGCAGAGGGAGGCGGTATGGTATCTTGGCCAGAGCTGTAGCTGAGGACCCAGGAAATTGGGGTCAGGCCAGATCTCTCCCTTGAGCTTCAGACTCGCGTATCCGGCTGTTTGGTGAACACCTCTGCTGGAGTGTCCCACAGGCACTTCAGATTCAGTGTCCAGACAGGGCCCGTCATCCTCACATCCTCCACTCTAGCTGTTCTAAAAATTAACAAGGGTTAATGATAGGCTAAGGGCTCCTCAGAAGAAATAAAATGTAGTCAAATGGTCTCCTTTGAGGAGGGCGACTTGGTGTTTTTGTGTGTGTGCATCCCAGGAAGAGCACCTTTACTAAACAACAGGAAACAAAACGTGCCAGGAATCTGACCAGATACACAAAGCAGCAGGTGAGATTCCTGATGGGAAAGAATGACTCCCCATGGAACATAAATAGATCCCCTCAAAGTACATATATTTCACACGAGTGTGTACATACATATGTAATATATTAAAAGAAATTTGGTTTCTACCACGAGAAGTTACTCAGCAACAATAAATCAACGTCACACCTGAGACAGGGAAGTGCGGGCGCTGCAGCCACGTTGTAAACCGAGGCGCACCTCCGTCCTGCACACACCTCCCCTCTGTGCGCTGTGCACATTTGCTGGCTGGGGGCTTCTCTCTGCCCCTCCCCCCAGGCTCAGCAGATCCAGTGTTTGTGGAAGAGCGTGTCAGGGAAGAAAGGTGGCCCTGTGGCCTTGGAGCCCACCCTGCAGAGCCCAGGAGCTGGCTGCAGCGGGGAGGCAAACACCCGAGGCCACCGCTGCCTGCCTGGAGGGCCGCCTCGGCTCTGGGGTGAAGGGAAGTGCTTGGGACCCCAGCAATGGCACGGCAGTGCACCTGGTTTTCAACAAAGAGTGTGTCTCTGGGGTCCACCCAGGGCCCTCCAGATCTTTGTAGTTTGGCCAGCAGGGGCTTCTCCTAGGATCAAATGGCTTTTGGGAGGGGAGTAGAGTGTCCAGAGTCACCAGGGCTCAGCCCTGTGAGTTTGTGTATGTGCGTGTGCACACGCCCGCATACACACGTGCTTCAGTGGAGGTCAGCAAGTTGCAAACAAGTGTTCTACAGGGGCGTGCTCAAATAGTGTCTGCTTTGGGGTCAGTTTGTCACTGTGTTCTGAGTGTCCCCATGCCAAAGTGGATTTGTTCAAAAGATGCCAGTTGCTAGAGGCTACAGATACAGAAGACACGTTACACCCTGGGGGGTGTAACCCTCTCAGGGCGTGGCACAGAGTTTTAGTAAGAAAACAAACAGAAGAAATGCACAGGAACCCTTTCCTTACTGTAAAGCCCTTTCCTGGCACCACAGGCAGACGGGGAAAGGCTATCAGGGTTTGTGTCTAGCCCTGTCACTCTCTTACTTATGGGCTTTATTACTTTGTAGTCTTGTGTTTTCTCCAGTTGAGTTTTATTTTTTTCTGGATCCTTTCTCTGAGGTCCCCTGAGTAGCTTAAAGACTTAAACCAGGAGCGGATCTTCTCCTCCTCGACCGGACGCCGCTTCCTCCTCTTCTGCCACCCTCATTCCCTCCCTTTCCTTCCATAACGACAAGCCCAAGGGTCTTCTTCATTAGGTAGGGCCTCTGTGTCTTCTGCCTCGTTTGGCGATGATTAACTAGACTTGTGAGCCTTACTGAGGATAAATGATGCTTTGGGTATAAAGTAAACCAGATTTTGGCATATTGAGGGCAGTGGGTAGCTGGGGTATAGTAGGAGTTGTTTGGCTAATGGGCAAGCCTGTCTGAAGAAGGCCTTCTGGTCAGACAAAGTAGCATATTGGTTAAAAAAATGACTATAAACCTAGACTGTTAGAATTTCATTCCTTGTTTCAGTACTTACTAGCTGTGTAACATAGGGCAGGTTTCTTAATCTCTCTGAACCTTAATTTTTGGGGGGGGGGCCATAAAGTGTGGGATAATAGTAGTACTTACCTCAATATCTTGTGAGCATTAAATGGGTTAAAAGATCTAAAGTGCTTCTGAGAGCCATGTTTGGCACACAGTAAACACTTAATAGAGGTCTTAAACATTTAATAATATTATTATTACTATTACAGTTGAATTTGGAAGTCATCCATGAGAAGCAAAGTGATACCACCAATCACTCCTAGTTTTCCCTGGCATAGTCAGTTTCATAAAATGGCCTCGTAATAAATATTTCTTGAATTAGCCTTCCTGCATTGTACTTTCTCATAGCTGTTAACTGGTTTGTTAATGGGAAATAAACCATCCATTCCCTCTCTCATACTGATTTGTCATCAACTGTTTACTGTCTTCTACACCAGAGTTTATGGTCACCGAGGAAGGGATTGTTTCTTATGCATTGCATTATCCTTAGTACCTAATATAGTGCCCTGAGCATAATACATCCTGAAAACATTTTCTTACAGGTGAGACG